AAAGAAAGATAAACGTTGTTATTATTTGTTTTTTATCAATTAACATTCAAGGAATGTGTTAACAATTTATTATTTTGTGAATGAATTGAATAGGAAATCGAAATGAAGATTGAATTTGAGTGTGATGATTATGGTAAACAATAATGGCAACAAGAGTAAGCATGTTGTCGTAATTTAAACATTGTGTACTTATATACACACAACTTCAATTTATTGCACAGAAAAAATCAATTATTAATAATACTTAGCACAACATGAATAATAAATATGAATTTAAAAAAGATACTAAAAAAAATTATTTGTGTTTTATTATTGTTGTTGTTTTCTAGTTTCTTGTGGCTGTTTTTTGGCTTTTAGAATTCATTCTTGGAAAAAAACATTGTTGCATTTTTTTTATTTGCCAAATCGGTATAATAGCAACAACAATAATAATAATTTCCCGAAGTTATGATTAATCTATTGATTGACATGACTTTTATAGTCGAACTTTCTTAGAAATTTATCCGAGACCCGAGAAATTATCTAAAATTCAACTCACTATTAAGGTTCATTATATGAGGTAAAAATATTATATAAATTAGAGTTTCTATTAAAATCATAACGAGTAATTTTTTTTTATAGAAAATATTTCTATCCATCTTAGAATAATTAAATGAATTATTTTTTTCTAAATTCCAAAAAGACACAAAGTACATGAAATTTAACGACTCCAATCAAACAACTAAAGCTGCAACATGTACATTGTTGACTGATTCTAGGGAGTAGTATTCGTTTTTATTATGGTTCGTGTAACTTGGTTGTTAGGGTGTACCTGTGTTGCGAAGTTTTTTTATGTGGAATGAAAATTGAACATATTAATATATAATTTACTAAAAGGATAGGATTAGTCTCATCTGCAAGACTTAAAGGTAGGGCATCGGATACCAAGGATGGTGAATATATCTCGTTTACATATGGGATTACATTTGCATGAGGATACCTTCTGGGGTTTGATTCCAATATAAACAATTTAAGTTTAGTGGAAGTAAGACATGATAATTTCCTATTAATATCTAAATTGTGGGTAACGAATTATATAAAAGTTCCAATTTAAATGGTGTAATAGCGTATGACGGAGTTAATTTGCATTTGACGATCGTCAAAGATAATTATGATAAATGCTAAATGCCACAATATTACCATGTGATCGTGATTAAAGTCATTAATATTAATTAAATATTTCGGAATTCCGAATTGTTCCGAAATGTTGAAAATTGAAAAGGTCGAAAAATTTATTGATAATAATAATATGTAATTTCGATATTTCTGGAATTCCATGGTTTCAGTTGACATCTTTTAATCGTGATCACTTCAAATTTCATAAATATCCAATTTCGATTTTTCTTTCAAATAGTGTGCAGTTAATTCATAGTCAAACCTTGCCACAGCACATGAATGGCACACAAACAAATTTTATATGTTTTTACATGTGATATGCAAAGAATTTTTTTTAAAAATCCATTATGACAAGAGTTTGATTATTATTATAGTTCGCTGTGACAAGGTTTGACGAATTTAACACATATATATATTCCATTTTATCAACCAATAAAATTTATCAAAAATCACATGATATGTTTGTACAATGTATATATAGTTGGCTTGGTCTAAAGACCTCCTAAATTTTGGGCAAATTTTAAAAGTATAGAAGTCACTTTCTATCCTACCTTTTAAAAAAATAGCTCTATTAGTTGATAGAATCTGTCTTTAGTTTTAATGTAATAGAGAGATTTTCTCAAAAAAATTATTTGTTGTAGAGTTCTATTCTTTTTTAAAACATGTACTTTACTATGCTCGCGAGGAATTTGTCCACTATGATCATTTCTAAATTTAGGAAAAATATTACCAAATTTAGACTAGATATTGACTATCGTATCTAAATTTGGCAGTAAGAAAACTAAAATCACGTGAAGTCCTATTTTTTGAAAAATTTTATTACATTTTTGAACCTAAAAAATTTAAGCCAACCCTGTTGATATATATTTTCAACTTTTCTTATTATTATGACAAATGGCCAAATTTTTATTAAAAGCAAATGTTAAGACCTCTTCATTCTATTTAGACATGTTAATGTAAGTAATTCCACTTTCTACATAAAATTTGCAATTCACTAAGGATACCAGCTGCAACTTTTGATGATGGTTACTGCCACCTTTGCATCATATAAAAATGATTACAACCACCTTTACAACCTTTTTTTTGGATTGCAACATGGAACACTATGATTCACCAAGTTTTTATTGATTCTAGGGCATTCCTAAAATCTAATGATATTTTATCATTTTTGTTTACTTCATACTCGTCATTATCATCATCTTCTTCATTCTCTTTGTTTGATATTCATGAAGCAATAATTCATTATTAACAGCATCATCTTTTTCTTCTAATCTATTTATATAAAATTTTATATTTGAGACAATGCCCTTTTTATAAAATTCCAAACAATGATTACATCTGTTGTTTTTTCTCTCCAAAACATCTATGATGATAAGCATGATTACATATTAACATTATACCTTATTTCAAATCTTTGATTACAATAGTCACAGCTATTATTAGATGGTGGTTTAGAACTATGATATCCAGCTGGTAAGCATTGTAATTTACATCCTCATTTAATGTTGTGAGATGATACTCATTCTTTTTAACCTTTCTACTTTTTCCCATATTTTGATAAATTAGATGAAAATAATAATTGATTAAAAATATTCTGGCTTTATATTTTAAATAATCTATGGTGAATTCTTTCTTTCCAATAAGTGCCTGGAATTTGTGAGGATGATCAGCAATCCCTTTGTTGTGCTGGATGCTTATTGGACAGGAGAGCAAGTACAAGAATCTGATCTACATTCGGAATTGTGCATTGAACAGGAGAGACCATTCTGGGAACACAAAAATTAACAGGAGGGAACACAAAATTTTAACCCATGCTATTTGTTGATTGACCAATTAAAAATCGCGAATTTGATAAATGTAGAAATAAATATTAATATGGGTTTGATTCATTTTCTCAATAATCACTTCACCAACAATTGTTTCATTAATGAATTTAAGAAGTTGGAGGCAACCATTGAAATAGTCTAATAAATTAAATTGTACTACTCGAAAATGGATTTAAAGGGTTGGTTTTTGACTTGGTCAAAGAATAACTCTCTTCCTAACTCTTCTCTTGACCATATCTCTCGATATAATCAAAATAACCTTAATATAATGAATGTCAATGAAATGATTGTAAACACAACAAATTTAAGATACATGATTGTGATGAAAAATGAACAATGTATGAAAAATCAAACAAATTTATTTAATAAAAACAAAATTTACAACCCATAAAATATTTTTGTTCTAATAAAATTTCCATTGTTGCTGTCATCTGTTGCTGATTCAACATTGCCCGGATCATCAACAACTGTATTTTCGTTATTTTCAATAAATTCATTTTCATTTAATATTTTTCATCATACTTTCTTTTAGTGTTGACATTTTTTTTGATTTTGACTTGAAGATATCAAACATTTAGATTGATATCTTTATAGACAATGATTGTGATAACCATGTCCACATGTGAGTATATACACTACAATTATTCAAATTAGTATAGTTAGTGTAATCACATTATACATAATTGCAAAAAATGTTTGTAGATGGTTCCTAGAAGTAACAAATTTTTAGTAATTAAAGGATACTGATTGTCTCTGGATGTGAATCTATGATAATCATCAACATTCAACAAGAATGTATTTTTTGAATATTTTGTAAGTGCATTCTACATATTTCTCATGTTCATCTGCAACTTGCTTCTTTTGTTCTTGCTAATTCTGATATAAGATATTCAAGGTATTTGTCTGGTGAGGATTCCTGAATTTCTGTTTCACAAACCTTTGTTTCAAGAGATGGTTGAAGCAATGAATCATCAATATTTTTCCTTCATTTGATGGATTTGAGTTGACAGAAGAACTGGAAGTTGAATCAGGCATTTGCAAATCAGGTGTTTGCAAATATTTGAGGAAATTATCATTTGAAATTATTTGATTATAGTGTCCTTCACAAAGAGAATAATTTTCTAAAAACCCTATCAATAAAGATAATTCTGGAAAATAGTTAGTAAAACATTTTATACATTTCATTACCAAGCTTCCAGATGCATGCCTCCAACGTTGATTAAGTTTGGTTTTGCATAATTTCAATTTTTTTTCAGAATATTTCTCAGTAAGAGCTGCAAATAAGCATGGCAAACTACTTGCTGATGAATTTGACACTGAAAAGTGTAAAAAAAATACAAAATTTTAGCATAAAAAGCAACAAATTTGGACTTCTAGTAGATAAATTCTCAATTTTAAGTAAAAGCATACTTTGAGTAAATTAATGGATTAAGAAAAACGTTTAGTGGATTAAGAAAGTAAAAGTTTAAAGGTATTTATTTCAATTATTATAATAAGGGTTTGTTTTTAAAAAAAAAATTTTTTCCAAAGGTACAAAGTATCACGTTGGCTCGTTTGTAACATACAAAACATATATGAATTGATCAACAAAGTGGCGTAAATTCTACTTCCAAATTTGGAAATAACCCTAACTGTAATATGTTCGTTAAACTTTTTTATTGTAAAGAACTTTTATTTATTAATAAAAAAAAGGAAATAAATAAGTCAAATAAATCAAATGTATGTTGTAGAAAAT